TAATCAATAAATAACCTTTGTCCAACCCAACCCAAGTCTCCAACCAACAACTTAACTTGGGTTTAGGTTCAGAACAATTACTTGTAATTGTAATTGTAATTATAAGTTTTTTTAAATTTTTTTATATTTTAAAATATATTAAATATGTTAAATATTTATTTTAATTTAATTATTAAAAATAATTAATAATTAATAAAATAATTAAATTATAAATTATAAATAAATATTTTTTAAATATTATAGCTATTTCTTTAATAAAAAAATAAATTAATAAATATACAAATAAAATCAGTCACAAATAACAAAATCGATGGCCACAATAACCTGTGCTCGCAAATTACGGGAATGGCTTTCAAAGTCATACACTTTGAAGGTAACTTCTTCTACATATGGGCCCACACTCTCGAATCTCACCTACCCTGGACTTGTCAACTGGTGGAGTGGTTGAGAATTCTACAAGAAGAAGAAGAAGGAGAAGGAGAATTTGGTAAATTTGATGTCCTGTACTAAGAGAAAATCAGGACGGAAGTTTATAAAGAAATTAAAAAATATTTACAGATAATTTTTTATGTTATTTTTTAAAATAATTTTATATATTATTTAAATAATTATTTTTTATTTCTTTAAACTTTATAATATTAAATATATTTATTTATTTAATAATATATAAAAATTATATAAAAAATAATATAAAAACGTTGTTCTACCTAAGAAATTTGACGAAAGGCGAAAGAAAGTTAAACTTCGAAGCAAAAGAGGGTCCCGCTTAAAAGACGATGGAGGCCTCGGTAAGTTAAGTTCCTCCAAAATGCCTCTACTCTCTCTACATATTTACTCAAAATGCCCTTTCATAATTCCGAGTAATAGTACTTACGTGGGGAACGGTTACGAATAGTTATGTTCACTAAATTATAAAATATTATTTTAAAACATATTAATTATATTTAATTTATTAATAAAAATAATTAGAATTATAATTATTAATTCATAAAATAATTAATATTTATTAATTAATAAATTAAAATTAATTAATTAATTAATATTTTTAAACGACA